TTTTTCCTAGTCCGTAGCTTAATGTCTATTCATAAGATAAATTGGTAATTCTTATGAAGTCCATTTTTTTATATTTATAATAAAAATCTATGATTTTGTTGATCTTTTTTTTGTAGCTAATTTCTGTTTCCCGGTATGGAAGAAGCCGCCAGCCTTTTCCCCGAGCAGGAGCTTTTGGACACTGCAGCCCTTTTGGAAGATGGTAAAGAAGCTCCTCTCACAGATAACACAAATTTCAGCAACAAGAAAGACAACCGATGTGCTTCATAGTTGCTCTCTCGTTCCTTTTTTCCCCCAGGGAGACTATCTCGTTTAAATTCGAATTTTTTCTCAAAGGGGGAGCTTATATTATTGTCTTTAGTTGAAAGGAAGATAAATTATGGCTGAGAATTTTGAAAGGGGCCGACCACAGTCCTCTAGTCTCCAACATCACTGCTGAGAAATCTGATGCCATTTTTATCCCAGTCCTTTGAATGTGACCTATTTTTGTTTTCTTTTCCTGGAAGCTTTTAGATTTTTTTTTCTAAATCTCTGATGACGTGAAATTTTTCTGAGATGTGCCTTGATTTGCGTCTAGTACGGGGCACTGGGCACCGCCCCACCTGCCCTGTCTGGGGCTCACTCTCTAGGTGCGCGGCCTGGAGCACCTGGCACCTGTCGCGAGCATTCCGGCTTCTGCCATCGCGTGGCCTTGTTTCGTCCCCCACCTCCCCTCTGCTGTTCTCATTGTGACTGTGGATTTGTGCCTTTTGAAATTCCTTTTCAGTCATTTTGACTGAGATTTAAGGAAGGAGTGGAAATAAAGTAGTTGAACTTGCCGTGTTTGGCTGGGAGTCTGCGGTGATTTTCTAAGACAGTGATTCTCAAACTTTTTTGTCTGAGAACCCCTTCACATTCTTATAAATTACTGAAGACCCAAAGAGCTTTTGTTTATGTCAGTTATATCTTTCAATATTTACTTTGTAGACCCCTGAAAGAGTCTCGGGGACCCCCAGGGTTCTCCAGGCCACGCTTTGAGACCCACCGCTCTCAGACCCCTTGTCGCCCATGAAGTCTGAGCTTATCAAGATCTATCCTAAGAGTTTAGACTGAGTGTTTGATCTGCTTCTTGATTTCCTAATTCTTGCCTTGATTTCTAGAAAGAAACAAATTAGAGGATCCAGAGTCTGAGGCTGAGGCTCTTTCTCAGGCTGCCCCTGGATGCTGCCGGTAACTGGCACGGGTGGGCAGCGCCTTTTGTCCCCCCAGAGGGACATGTGCTCGCGGGGTGGGTCCCGAGGGCCGCGCCGCGTGCTGGTGTGTGGGTGGTGTGGGTGGCAGCGGGTGTCCTTCCTCCTTTAAGTTCAGTGAAAGAACAGGCCACCGGTGCCGGCCACACGAAGAGGGAGGCAGCCGCTGGAGACAGAGCACGGCCGTCCCACCTGCGGGAGAGCCTGGGCTTCCTGGATAAGATGCGCGAAGACAAAGAGCTTTTCATCCAGAAGATGAGGTGGGCGCGGCCTGGCCCGGGGGACAGCTCCTCCTGCGTCCTGGGAGTGCCACGTAGGCGTGCGGCAGGGCAGGTCCTCCTGCCGTCTCCTTGAGAGTCCCTCTGGGGGGTCCCACCAGGGTATCCTCAGGTGAAGCTCAGAAAACCCCTCCGGGAGGTCAAGCTTCCCGAGAACTGCAGCAGCTCCCGGGTCCACCCAAACCACGATGGCCACCTGACTCCTGCGTGGCACGGGCTGAGCGCCTGGGGCGGGCGAGGCCCTGGCGGCAGCGAGAGGGTGGCGTCCTGCCCACGGGGGCCCTGTCTGTGTGGGTTTGTGCTCGGGTCTGACGCGCCCTGTTCTTCATCCGGGGTGGTCAGCAGCGCTGCTCGCGTGCCCCATACGCCGAGGAAGACATTTAAACACAGAAAAGCTGCAAACGCACAGTGCGCTGTCACCTGCACACCACCCAGCGACACTCCAGGCTGGCCGCTGGCTGTGATTTCTTTATCTGTGTTGTGTTATAGCTACGTTTTTTGTCGTTGTTTTTTGGCTTTGTTTTGCTTTGTTCCTGAATTATTTGGAAGCAAACTGCAGGCG